CTCATAAAGACTGAGTTATTTTGTGAAATATATAAAGGTCAATTAGAATATTTTCATAGGTGTCACCAGTGCATTGTCATCCAGTTGGAAAGCTAATCTGGAATGCCAAATATGTATGGATAGTAAACCATGAAATTAAATCAAGAAGAGTTATACAGTTCACATGTTTAATTGTATTATTGGGTTCTGCTTAGGCAGAATCCAGTTAATCAATAGGGATAATCGTACCTGATCTTTAGATTTAAAAAATTGAAAATAGGACAGTATAGAAAAATAATATATTACAAAATTTGAAGCATATTCCAGATGGCAGAGATATTCTTTTGAGACACTTGACTATGAACCAGCTGGGACAAATGTGACAGAACTTGCAAGGAGCAATGAGAGTGGAAAATAAGATTCTAAATATATTTCTCTCTTTTTTTTTTTCCTTCTAAATATGTTTCTCTTCACTCCCTTATTCTGGTATTCTCTATGAAAATGAGATAGTTGGGCTAAATGATGATTATATCTTTTATGGAAGCTTTGACAATTGTAAGAAATGTGTAGAGAATTAACTTCTTGGACTTCTATTTTTAGTGGTGGGCTAACTAAGGGATTACTCTCATGTTTCGTTTCTGAGATTGTTGTAACAGAATATTCTTGCGCTAGACATTTTTATATAATTGGCTATTTTCTTCTCATTTTAAAGCACTATCTTTTTGCTCTTTTGTGTAGTTTCCCTTCATATTTACATAAGGAATAAAAATTTTATAAGTTTGGGCCTCCTCTGGTGGCACAGCGGTTGAGCGCTGGGTTGCAAGGCTGCCCGCAGCCTCTGCAGCACCAGTTCAATCCCCGGCTACCGGTGAGGGTCCCACAAAAAAAAAAAAAAAAAAGAGTTTTATGAATTTGCTATTTATCTCATTTCTTCTTTAAGTTATTGCTTTAAAGAATACTGAATTGTAGAAGATGATACCATATGCTCAGTGCTTAGTTGATTACAGCTTTCCTTTGATCTTGAGCTTTGGGGGACTTTTTGCTGTCCCCCCTTCTTTCCCTATTTATATGTCCTGATTGATAGATTGACATGAAGTATTTATACTTAAACTTCTTGCAGAAATGAACCGTGTTACTTACTGGCATTCTTGGCCACGTATATTACTTTTTGTTTGAACATGTGGTCTTTGCTGTCCAGCTAAATAATCTGTAGACAGTTTTAGATAATCATTATGAAGAAGTCCTAAGAAATACTATGGATCCTGGGACACTTGTCATCATTGTTGAGACACAGGATCCCTGTGAGTTTGTTCTGTGTGACACTCCCTTCTTAGGAATGTGTCTAAGGGCCAATAAATACCAGTTTGTTAGGCAATGTAAAATTTTATTTTTAAGTTTTTAGTTTATGATACCGCGTTTTATAAATTTATCCAGTGTGAAACATTAATTCAGTTGTAGTTTGTTAGTTGGAATATCAGTATGATTGTCAGGTCATATTTATTCTCCCTTTTCTTTACTTGTCTTACGTATTTGTCTGTTTTGCCTCTTACACGTCAAAATGCAAAAGTTTCTTACCTCTCTCCAAAGATAGACTCTGGAAGTGAGTATGAAGTGGGCATACTTATTTGTAGTATGCGTACTATTTTTTTTTTAAAGATTTATTTATTTTTATATAAGAGCTGGGTACAGGCCAGAGGCGCAGGAGGGATTCACCAGAGACAGAGCAAGGAGCAGAACAGGCAGACAACAGAAATACACTTTTGAGGGGAGCAGTGGGCACGACAGGAGAGGTCTGCCACACCATGTGGGATTCTCGCCGGCTGGCTGGGATCAAACCCGCACTGCTGAGGCTGCGGACAGCTTCACAGCAAGGCACTAGACCCACTGCGCCACCGGGGAGGTCCAGTATGCGTACTATTCTTAGTGATTCTTCAGAATTTGATTGATTTATTATTATAATTTTGTCAAACATATAAATTCCTGGAATCATTTCTAGAGTAAGAGAACTAGATAAATCTATCCCAGTGTATGCTCTAATGAATTTGTCAGATACTTCTGTCACATAGGTAGTTAAATTTAAGTTTTATTAATCTTATTTATTTTTGTTTTATGTTGGAAGTACTTCAAGTACGTTAGACTGGGTTTTTTGATCTTTTCAAACATAAATAAAAAATTAGAATTACATTTATTCATAAATCATCTTATTCATTTTTAGCTTTTGATATTTTTATATACATTTTTCAGATTCACCTTGAATTTCTTGGCTCTTTGTGTGAATTTTAACAGCAAAAGATACACATTTGTATCTTATAAGTTTGTATGGGGAAGAGGAGGCTCGGACAGATAACAGAGTTGCCATTTCCTATAAATACGTTTTTTCAGTACAGTAGATGAGGAATACAGCTTAAAAATACTTCTTAAAATTAATTTTAGTTTGGACAGAAAATGACTTAAAAATGCCAGTTAGCAAATAGGAAAACTGATTAAATCAAAGCAATTAAATAACAGACTTAATAAAGTAAGATTCAGTAACAGGCTAACTTAATGGATGAATGAAGTTGCTTTGTACTGGTTATACTGTGCTACTAAAGAAAACTTTGCACTCAGAGTTATTTTTTTAAAAGAACAATTATAATTTTCTATTATAGGAATCACATGCAGCCCAACTACAGATCCTTATGGAATTCCTCAAGGTTGCAAGAAGAAATAAGAGAGAGGTATATTATTTTATGTATTTACATAATGTTTTATTTACTTTTGTTAACTATTTCCACTTTGCCCCATTTTTGTGAAGGTGTTTCAAAGAAAGTACTTTAAGCATTTAAAAAGCATTTGTGTTTTCTTAACTACTTGTTACTTAAAAAAAAATTTGTTTTGTGGGGTTTTACATGTTTCTCTCTCTCTTACTTAGACTTTGAACTCATTGAGAGATTTAGTGCATAGAAAATTACCTGACAGTGAATGTATAAATGGATCAATTAAATGAACATTCCAAGCATGAGGGTGTATGGGAGTTAAAGGAAATGGCTGGTCATTTTCTGTGTCCTGAATTATTTAATATTTTCAGTGGTCCCTGAGGTTTTTTTTACTGCTTCTTTTGGGATCTATTAATACTTGCAACAAATTGATTAGAGATTTTCTCAGGTAATAAGGATATGGCATATAACTCTAAAAAAAGACTCTGATGGTTCTAAGGTTTTTACCTTATGAAAAAGATTTTTACCTTATGTAAACCTGCCAATTACATAGGTTCTGACAGAAAATTTAAAGAGATAAAGGTCTTTTGTTCATGGCATATCTAGCTGCAGTAACTTCATATTTGCATCAATTCCCCATCCCAATTCCCCCATCCCAAGTCCAACAAGGGTGATACAGAGATGGGCCTAGGTAGATGCTGCACATGCAATCGATTTGTGGTTAAAACCAAGGAACTCTGAGCTTAAGAGACCTCAGTATTTTAAAGGCATTTGTTAGGAAACCTTTCCAGTCTTAGCCTTGTAGGGAAACGCTTTATATTTTATTGATTGGAAAACAAATCTGCCCTCTGTCCTAGATGCAGTCACTGTTTCTTTGTTTACAGGGTATCTGTACAAACAGCCTTGAAAACATGTTAAAAAGATAATTTTGAATAAAAGCTATCGTAAGATGTGTGGAAATGAGAGCTCAGTGGAGGACTATTCCCCAGCAATAACTCTTCTTCATGATCTTTATTTGTTGCCTCTCTGATGTGGTAGCTGGAGCTTTCCAGTAGTACCTTCTATGATATTGCCTTGATCACACAGCTCTTGGTATCAGTGTTTCTGTATTTTTGTTATTAAACATCTGGGTTTATTGTGCTGTAGAATTTTTCAGCTTGACTTTATTTTTATTTTAATGTGATTGATTTTTTCCTCCCCCTTTGGACCATATTTTCTTACTGTAGTCAGTTTAACCAAGAAATATACTAGTTCCAAGTACTTCTGGGTGTTGGTGCCTCTTCTGTGTACTTACAATATTGTTAATTTTCTTGTTTTTATTGTATTCATGATTGAGTATTTCAGGTTTAATTACACAAGGGCCTCTAGGAGCAATGCTAACAAATTTTAAAAATTTGAAACTAAAGTATGTGGTTAAATTTTCCTCTTGCATTTATTATAGAGTAAATTTACTTGTTTGGTCTCAAATATTTTTATTAAAAGTCTTACGTCTTGTAATATGATTTACACTTAAACTTACTCAAGCAGATATAGACTGAACAGGAGACCAACTGCTTTTGAGTTTCTTTTACTAAGTTCAGCATTCAGTCTTTGAAAAGTAAGCGTGTGATTTCATGCTTTTAATTTTGTATGATGTCTTGGTTTAAATATTGCTGTATTCTCATTAAGGATATTAAATCTGCTTTTCAGATATAATGTGCTTATTTGCTCCAGTGTCACATCTCACCGGTAACTTACGGCTATTACAACCTTATGTTTAATTTATTTTCCCTACTGATTCTCTTTTGAATATTAAGAGAAAGGACTATTCATGGCACACAGACATTTGAATTTGTTTTATATTGCTCTGTAACAAGTTACATTCAAATTTAGTGCCTTAAAACATCAAACACTTATTATTTTAGGTCAGGACTCTTGGTGAGGTATAAATGAATACCTTGACTCAGGGTTTCTTGCCAAGCAGTAGTGGAGGTGTTGGCCATGGCAGCGTTTATCTCAAGGTTGAACAGTGTATGAACCCTGTCCAAGCTTACTCACTATCTGTTGGAAAGAGATACCAATTCTTTGCCACAGGGGTTTCTCATAGGCTAGCACACTACATGTCAGTTGGCTTCCCTCAGAGGGAGTTAGTGAGAAAACAAGAGAAGGTGTTGAAGACGCCAGTCACATACTTTTTGTAATTTAATCTTGGAAGTTACATCCTAACATGTATGTTCTTTCTGTTAAGTAGGTCCAGCCTACACAGAGACTTACACAAGGGTGTGAATTCTAATATGTGAGGCTCTTTGGAGGCTATCTTAGAGCTTTCTTTTTTTTTTTACGTTTCAATTTTTTTCTTTAAAAGGAGTGAGTTGTGTGCAGGGGGGTTAAATGCTTTATAGACAAGAAAAAAAAACTGCGCTAGAACCAACTTATTCATCATCATCATCCTCTTCTTCATCTTCATCTTCTTCGTCTTCCTCCTCTTCCTCATCCTCTTCATCTTCCTCATCTTCCTCCTCTTCCTTCTTTTTCTTGCTCTTTTCCGCCTTGACGACCCCTTTTTTGGCCGCATCAGGCTTGCCTTTAGCTCGGTATGCAGCAATATCCTTTTCGTATTTTTCCTTCAGTTTAGCAGCCTTCTTTTCATAAGGCTGCTTGTCATCTGCAGCAGTGTTATTCCACATCTCCCCCAGCTTCTTTGCAACATCACCAATGGATAGACCAGGATGTTCTCCTTTGATTTTTGGGCGATACTCGGAACAAAACAAGAAAAAGGCCGAAGGAGGCCTCTTGGGTGCATTGGGATCCTTGAACAACTTTTTTGTTTCCCCTTTAGGGGGGATATAAGTTTTCATTTCTCTTTCATAACGGGCCTTATCCGCCTTTGCCATGTCTTCAAACTTTCCTTTTTCTTTAGCAGACATGGTCTTCCACCTCTCTGAGCACTTCTTAGAAAACTCTGAGAAGTTGACTGAAGCATCTGGGTGCTTCTTCTTGTGCTCCTCTCGGCAAGTTTGCACAAAAAATGCATATGATGACATTTTGCCTCTCGGCTTCTTAGGATCACCCTTGCCCATGTTTAATTACTTCTCCTCAGCGAGGCACAGAGTCGCCCAGTGCCCGTCCGGCTCTCACTTGCCCCGGCGCTGTCTCTATGGAGCTCAATGTACTGCCTATCTTAGAGCTTTCTTATGACAGCATTTAATAAAACCATGTATTAAAGTGAACGTGATATTTTTCAAATTAGATTGTTTCATGTAAAAGCCAGTCACTTTTGTGCAGATTTGAATCATCATTTGAGCAATTTCTTTACCTTCAATTTGACTTTATTTTAAAATATACTTCCAGATGTTTTCAGCACCTGTTTAATAGGACAGTTTTGATAAGTCTTGGCTTTGGGTTTTATTTGGAATTGTAATGAATTGAATTTTGCAGTGTTTTTGTATGAACTAAAACACAGAAAAGTCCGTAACAACAAATATACAGTTTAAAGACTCATAATGGAATGACCATCTGTATTATTATCAAACCAGTTCACCAATACGTTATTGCTAGGACTCCCAGACAGATTATTGAGTACCCTTTCTGGACTTTAGCTATCTTCCTTTTCTATTAGGTAATCAGTAATCTAATATTTATGGTCATCACTTTTCTGTTTTCCTTTATTGTTTTTGTAAGTATTTATGTCTCTCATTTTTTTGAACATAATATAAATATACTCTGCAATATGTAATCTTGTCTTTTTGGCTCAATGTTAGGACTCATCCATATTTTTGTATATGACAGCAGTTGATTCATTTTTGTTGTTTATAGTATCTTGTTAGTGACTATCTCATTTTTGTGATTGATGAACTGTTAAGTTTTTGTTTTGGTGCTATTCACAAACAATGCTGCAGTCTTTCATTTGTATACAGGTATGCATTCACATATATATAGTGGTATAGTAGGTATGCAGAAATGGAATTGATGAGTCATAGGGTGCATATATATTATACATATATACATATATGTATACATACATCTTCAAATTTGATAGCTAATGCCTTACTGTTTTCTTAAGCAGTTGTTTTAGTTACTGTTCCTACTTTGTGAGTGTTCCTTATTATTGTGCTGTGTTCTTGTCAATACTTGATATCAGTAGACTTTCCCCAGTTTAGCTGATCTTGGGGTTTTGTAGTGCTCTTTGTAGTTTTAATTTGTATTTCCATGATGACTAATGAAATTGAGCATCTGGTACTATTTTTAGTAGCTGTTTGGATTTTGAGTATTTATGAAGTGCTTGTTTAAGACTTTTTGCATCTTTCCTATTTTGCCGATTTTCTTAATGTTTTGCTGATTATATAGTCTGCATAATATTCTTTATACTGTCTATTATCTATATATCCTCTATTGCAAATAATTTTCCCTCTCGTTCAGATGCTGTTTTCATTGGTTTAATGATGTCAGTTGATGAACAGATGTTTGTCATTAATAGTCAAATTTATCAGTATTTTCTGCACTAAGAATTTTGTGCCATATAAGGAAATGTCCATTGGATGTCATGAAGATATTTTGCTGTATCAGCTGTTTAAAACTGTATTAATTTTTCTTTCACATTCAGATCTGTCACCCACTGGGGAATTTATTATTGTATAAATTATAAGAAATAGGGAACTTTTCGTAAGGAAGGTTATCCATTTTTCCACACTTCCATAGTAAAGATGTTCATCCTTTTCCAGTTCCTCTGAAGTACCGCCTTTGTCATTTGTCATGTGCTTCTATATTTGTGTCTGTTTCTAGATTCCCTTTTCTGCTCCATCGATCTATTTGTCATTCTTTTTAGCATTACCACATTGTAATGTAATATTTGTCTTTTAGAAATTCTTAGCTACTAGTGGCTCTTTGTATTTCTTTGTAAATTTTAGAACTGGTGGATATATTTCCATGGTAAAACTGCTGTCATTATATTGGGATTACTTTGATTCTCCAGATCAATTGGAGAGACTATATCTTTACATAGAGTCTTCTAAATTCATGTATGTGGTATTTCTCTATGTACAGGTCCTTAAGTATGTCCTTCACAATTTGAATATTTTTCAGGGTATTATTCTTACACATCTTTATTTTATATTTGTTCTGAGGTCATCAGTCATTTTTATGTGTTTGTAAATGATGCCTATGTCTTTAATTTCACTTTCTTACTGTTTGTTGCTGGTATATAGAAATACAGTTGATTTTTACATATGCAATTTTTTTTTACATCCAGCAAACTTGATAAACTCAATTCTAATAATTTGAAGACATGTTTTCTGTATACACATCATCATCTACAAATAGTAATATTTTAGTTTCTATCTTTATGATCCTTATATCTTTTATTTATTTTTCTTGTCTTACTCTGCTGGCTAGGACATCCGGTACAATGATGAATAGAAGTGGTGATAGCTGGGCATCCTAGTCTTGGTGCTGATCTCAAAGTGAAAGCTTTCGACGTGTCACCATTAGGTATGATGTTTTTTGTAGGTTTTTTAGTAGGTATTCTTTCATCATTCAAGGAAGTAAATTTCTATTCCCTGTTTCCCGAGAGGATTTTTTCCTTTAATGATGAGTGGGTGTTGAGTATTCTCCATATATTTTGTGTATTTGAGTTTTTTTCTTCTGTTAATGTGAATAATTACATTGGTTTAATATTAAAAAGTGCATCAATTTTGCATGTAGGGTGGCTAGCAGTCCTGATTTGCCCAGAAATATCTATCACTGAATGTTCTGTATTCTAGGGAACTCTGCCAAGATGGTTGTTTTCTCTAGTTGTATCCCTTATGTAAACCAATCTTAGTCATGGTTATATTCTCTTTCTTATGTTGACTTGCTGTTATTTTGTTTAGGATTTTTGCTTCTATGTTCATTAATTAGATTGTCCTATATTCTTTTTTTTCTTACACTAATCTTGTCCCGTTTTGCTATTAAAGATAGTTTTATCAAATGAGTTTGGTGATTGTACCCTCTTTTTATACTTCTTGAAAGAATTTGTGTAGCCTAGAAAGAATGTCTTTGCTGAATGATTATAGAACTTGCCAGAGTAGAGAGGAGTTTTTTTTTTTTTTTTTTTTGCCAGAGTAGAGAGTTTTAAACTATTGATTTATCTTCAATAGTTAAGTTTATACAGGTTTTTGTTTGACTTTTGATATAATTTTTTAGTTGTTGTCTATTTCATCTAAATTTTCAAATTTATTGGCATGAGATTTTCTTAATACTAAGTTTTCAATGCTTCCAGAGTTTTTAGCTATGCATTTGACCTTTGGATCTATTTACTGGTGCTGTCTTTTCCTCTTTTTACTTGATGAATCTTTGCAGGAATGTATCAGTTTAATAAGTCTTACCTAAGAACCCCCTTTTGACTTTATGTTTTCTGTTTTCCATTTTGTAAGTTTATACTCTATTATTTTCATCCTTCTGCTTTCTTCTTATTTTTGTTACGTTTCTGATCTGTTAAGTAAGATGTACATATTATTTTGCAGAATTTTTCTTAATATAGTCATTTAAGGCCATAATTTTCTTTTTAGCTGTATCATATTTTGGCATGGTTTTTTGTTTGTTTTCCTTAGTTCAAAATAGTTTCTGATTTTCATTATAGCTTTTCTTAAGCTTGTGGGCTATTTAGAAATAAAGTTAATACTTGAATGTGGGGATTTTTTTTCCCTTTTAGTTATGAATCTGTCATAATTGCATTGTTATCAGAAAATACTTAATGTTTTATGTTGTTGAGTGTTATTTTGTAATTGCATGATGCAATGTAAAGTTTGTTTTACTTATGCTGAGAATTTGCTGCATTCTTCTGAGTCTTTGTTTCCTTGTTACATTAGTTACTGAATCATTATATTTGAGTTAAGTTTCTTTTAGACAACAGATATTTTATCTAATCTGTCAGACTCAGTCTTTAGTTGTATATTTAGACCTTTATATTTAATGTAAAGGTTATGGCTATATCTGACATTTTATTTCTCTCTATTGTTTTTATGTCTTTTTCCTTCTGGGCTAATTGATTTTTTTTTTTCAATTTTATTATTATTTACAGTATTTTTGAATATATTTGTATAGTTTTTTTTTTTTTTTAAAGATTTATTTATTTATTTATACAAGCACTGGGTACAGTCAGAAGCACAGGAGGGTGAGAGAATTCACCAGAGCCAGAGCAGGGAGCAGAGAAGGCAGAAGGACCGAAGTACACTGCTGAGGGGAGCAGCAGGCGGCAGGAGAGGTCCGCGCGCCATGTGGGACCCTCACTTGGCGGCCGGGGATCGAACCTGCACTGCAGAGGCTGTGGGCAGCTTCGCAGCCCAGGGCTCAACTGCTGTGCCACCGAGGAGGCCCTGTATAGGTTTTTTTTTAAGTGTTGCTCTAGGAGTTTCATTATACATTCATAACAATCATAATCTTATGGTGTTGACCTTTGCTTTTGAACAAGTCATTGTAATATTACTCCATCATACAGTTTGTTGCTGTTGTTGGGGTTTTTTTTTTGGTCCTGTTTCCTTCTCAATTTTAAATGCCATAGGAATATTGAAATAAGCTTTTTAATCAAGTCTGTTATTTTAGGAGTTAGGTATTAAGTGTGTGTAGTTTTGTAGGATGGTGGAATGGATGGTAAAGCTTTAGTTTGCCTTTCATATGCTAAATTTGCTTTACTTTTGGTAGCAACTCTTACAGAGTGTGTGTGTGTTTAAAGACTTATTTTTTTAAAAAGAGCATTTCTTAGTAAAATTGAGAAGAAAGTATAGTGATTTCCCATATACCTTTTGCCTTTACATGTGCGTGGCCTCCCACATTATTAAAATCCCTTAATAAAGGTTATGTTAGTTATGTTTATGAACCCACATTGGTACGTCATAATTACTTAAAGCCCATGATATATACTTTAGGGTTCTCTTGCTTTTGTATATTCTTTGAGTTTGGGGAGATATATAATGACATGTATCCATTTATTATAATATATGGAATAGTTTCACTGTCCTAAAATTCCTCTTTGTTTCACCTATTCATCTCTTCCCATACCTGCAACTCCTGGGAACTGTTGACTTTCATTATCTCTATAGTTTTTTCTTTTCTAGAATGGAATCATGCCATATATAACCTTTCAAATTGTCTTTTTTTATTTAGTAATATGCATTTAAGATTTCTGTTTCTTTTCA